AGTGGATTGTTTTCTTCAAATGACATAATGCGCAACGTTCTTGATGGCTGGCGTTGTAAAGAAGAAGGGGCAGGCTGTGGGGGACATGTTGAGTCTAAAAGATGACTCTTTCAGAGTGGTTTTTTAGGTCATGTGAAGGGTCTAAGGTAGATTTTGCAGTACTTGTAGCTATAAGAACTGTTCTCGAGGTCTCTATTAAAGCAAATTGGTCTAAGTCGTACTTGATTATTATGAAGACGAGCTCTAGAGTGGTCATAATTTGACTGTACAAAGTGAAAAATCACCCTTGTCGCTGGTGGCCTTTGTTGGCGGACATAGACTGATATTGGGCATGTGAGTTTTAAGCATATCTAGAATCGTTGCATCACCCCGGCTGAGAACTTTTCTTTTGAAGCTATAACTAAACTAGACCTCTTTGAAGTATAGTGATGAATGATAATAAGTGTCTTAGATGAACCTTTTTTTTCTTTTCTAGATTTTGTTTCGACAGCTTGTTTAGGTGTTATGTTGGCTCTAAATATAGGGTAAGTGATGGTGTTACCAGTTTGGATTTGTTATTGGGTTTCAGCAAGGTGATGGTTTTGTAGGAGCAAATTAGTCTCATGTTCATAGTTAGTCTGCTTCTTTTTTGTGTATCTCGATTCATTTTTTACACTCTTTTCTCCTTTTTGTTGAAGGGTTTTTTTTAATGAGGTAAATTGTGATCTGATTTTTTATTTTTCTTGTTAATAAGACAAAATTTACTAATAAAAAAATTAAAATAAGTCTTAAACCTTATTGTTACAAGAGAAAATTATTATGGAGAAATGCAATATTTCTATAAATTTTAATATTTTTGTTATATAGATGGGTTTTACGGGGATTTTAGAAAATTGTTTTTGGATACACCAAATTTTATCATATTTACCTCTTCATGATTTTAGTTTTATAATTGATTATCATTTTTTTCATATGTAAAGATAGATAATATCAAATAATATTAAATTCTATCTTTATATATATATATATATATATATATATTATTACAGAAGTCTTTAATTTTATTAAAAAGAAGAAATATCTCAAATTATATTGAATGTGTATAATTATAACCGTAAGCTAAATACATAATTAAGATATTTTTCTATAAACATTGACACTGAAAATAAGTCATTTAAAATTACATAAGGGTTATACAAGTAAAATGTTAAAAAAATAACCAAAAATCGAACAAATATAGATACGAAACAGATCTAACCACATCGACAAATGAATCATAAAAAGAGATCAAGCTACTAAGGGTGCGTTTGGTTCACGGAATGTAAGATTACCAGTAGGAATAAAAGATTACCTGGGAATAGGATTACTGGGAATGTTACATTACTGTGTTTGGTTAGTTTGACAGGAATGTAAGATTACAGTGTTTGGTTGAAGGAATAAAAGATTACTGGAATGTATATTTTACCAAATTGTCTTGTTCTATATTTTTTTAACAAGTGAAATTCTAAATATTTAAATAAAAATTATTTATAAAAAAATTCTATTTTTAATAATATATTACTTGAGTATTTAAATATATCATGTATTATTTTTATTTTAATTAATATTAAATTTTACATAATTTATGTAAAAATATATTAAAATGAGTTTTTGTTATGTAATAAATGAGATAATACTTAAGTAAGAATACAAATGTAAATTAAAGTTCAAACTCTGTATCTTTATTTTGAGGAATTATGATTATCAGTTTTTATTTTATTATAACAAGAACCACATTACAAAATGTAGCTAGCTAATTCATTAAAATCTTCTTGGATGACTGTGTAATCCATAAAAGTGTTCACATGAATTTATTCGGTTGAACAAGATGACAAATATAGTGTAATGAAAGTTCATAATCCTAATTCCATGCAATAAAATATCAAGAGCTTATTTCCACTTATTTTGTGCTTATTCTGTTATTTATCATTTCCCACATGAAGATATGAGTTTTTGTTCACTTGATTCTTGGTTTGTTAAAATAAATTTATTTAACTTCCTAAAAGAAGGGAATTACTTTACAACATTCTTTAAGTCATGGCTTTGTAATTGTTATGTTTCCTTGATTTGCAGTTTCGGTGATCTGGGTGCACTTCACCAACTTTTGGTTGATCAACCCAATATACTAAGCGAAGAAGGTACATTATGGACAAAGTTAGCTAGATTTGTTTTGTTTGTTTTTAGCTTTAGTTAACTTCTCGATCAACACATTATACTGAACAATGCCTATATTATTATTATTTGCAACAATGCATTTATATGTTCTATGCTTCTAGTTTGTATGTCTTTCGAAGAGTCCAACTATGTTGTTAGTCAATCTTACGGGGTTAAGGTGGTGAGAACCAATATTTCATGTGTATCAAGTACAAAGGTGGAAACTTTTGAATGTATGTGATGCTAGTTCTTTGAGCTTAGTGAATGTAAAACTCTGGTATTAAAAGATGAGGTAGATGGAGTTCGATAAGTTTCCGGAAATTTGTTGAAGTAGAAAGATTATAGGAGCTTCTAATGATTTCCCGGTTATAGTGTTTGAAAAATTATAGTTGAAGCTTATGGCTTGTCGACTCATTAAGCATATTATCAGAGCTATATTCTTATGATGGCACTTAGATTTGCACTGTGCAGTAGTATTTTCATTCAATACATGTGCTGCAGATGTATATTAGCTGCCTGCATTTCCATAGACAATTTAAACATACTTGGACCATATTTGCACAATGGCACCCTAACTTGAATTTGATTTTTTGGAAATGCAACAAAACATAAGCCATCATTTATTTCTTTCATGGGCACATGGCGATCAATCAGCCTCTTTCAAAGTTGGGAAACAGAGTTTGGGTAAACATGGAGAATTAAGATTTTCGTGGGTGATGTTTCAAGCAACTTGTATATCTATCTGAAATTTTCACAGCTTTGTTTATCAATGATAGCCCTTTAGACTTTCATACATTCTTTGGCCCTTCTTCAACATCCTCCCCTCTTAATCATTACTTTATGCAGTTCTTCTAAAAGGTCGGTATGTTGCATCAATAAAGAAAAGCCATAGTAGTTCTGTTTACTGGTTGTGCTGTTGCTATGTTATTCTTCTCCATTTTCCTTGAAATATTCATATTCAATATATACCCGGGCATATTTAGTTCTCTAAATTCTTCCATAGATGCTATCTATTCATCCTCGTATCTGAATATACAGTATATACGAAGTCATATTTCAGTGGCTGATCCAGTACGCTGCTCTACTTGTCTATGTAACACCATCTATCAAAGACTTCCAATATTCACTACCGATAAGTTGCGACACACAAGAAAGCGATAACTCTTAACTATCAAAGGCAAGGTTTTTACTACATAACAAAAACTATCAAAAGTAATTAACATATTCGAAAACTAGAACATTACTTGCATCTCATATACTACATAACAAAAAGAAGTATAACATTAACCATCAAAAGATTATACAATGTTCAGACTTACAAAAGATAATAGCCATGACATTCTAAACGTAATCATATTTTTGGCTATATTATATACACACAAAATTCTTCAAGTCAAAATATTGACATATACTTGGCTAAGCTACACAAAAAAGTTGGGACCATATTCTAAAGTCATAATCAAAAAGAGATCGACATAATTGTAGAAGGACGACAGTTAAAATGATGGTCTAAATTGACGGCATTCAACCAATTGCTTAATCACATAATCTTGCTTGAATTCTTTTGGCAAAGAAAAGAAGAAATCTACCTTGTGCGTATCTTTGCTAATATACTCTCCTACAGTAAGCATTTCATCAGTGGACAGTCCTTCAATTTTCATGATTTCAGTGAAAATCGACATTCTTCGATCATTTCCTTCTGCCTCTTTTTCAATAAAGCAGTAATATCCTTAATTTCTTTGGCAGTTTCTCGGTATGCAGCACCGAACTTACTTATCTCCTGTACAAGCTCAGTTAACCCATCATCACTTCGAGACCTTTTCTTGCTAGCTACTTTTTTCTTTGTAGGGGTAGAGGCAGTAGCATCAGATGTTTGGCAAGTTGAAGCACCAACATCCTCTCTTGATTCAAAATCTCTTACTCCCTCTTCTTTAAGTAATGCATCTATAAATGCATTGTCTTCAACATCAATATGTTCCACTGCATCAGCTACTGTCTCTGCTGCTATTCCTGTAGCTCTTTCTTTTCCAAATATATGAACAAAGTCATCAAAGAATGGAAATGACTTGTTTCTCAATCCAGCAGCAGTTGGATGACTCTACAATATAATAAAATCGCAAATTTAATAAATCTTACAAAGCTAAGTAGATAACAAAGAGTATAGAAAGGAGATAAATTCAATTAAAATACTTACTCTAACCCAATCATCAAACACATCCTTTGGTGCAGTTAAACATTTTTCTTCTTCATTCCAACCGAATCCACTTCCAATATTCAGCATTTCAGATAAAGCATTGTATTGTCTTTTGAGTAGCTTCACTCTAGATTCAATATAAGGATGGGCCCTAATTTGTAATGTTGGAAGCTTGATTTCTAACATCTTTTCAAGATTAGATAGATAACCTGATCTAAATGTTCCATTATCAGCTTTTCAATGTGGGTCTTCAGCCAAAATGTAAACATTCAACAAGTGCAGCATCCTCCTCTTTAGTCCATGTCCTTTTATAGATGTCGGTGGTTTCCCCCCCTTTGAGATTCCATATTTGATTTTGACATATTTCTCTTCGAAACAATCTAAGAAGATGTATATAAAAAATGTATAACATAACATAAAACATGTCATCATTGTCAATACTAATCATAAATGAAATTTAAAATAGTAACATAATATAAATCAACTGTAGTGAATGACATAAGTAATGAATGTCCATAACAAAATTTAATAAAGTTTATGCCATAAAATATAAAGATGTCAAATACATGAAAGTAATGATCACTAACATTAGATAAAATAGAAGGTGAAAGTCATACATAACATAAAATAACATCTATCCTAAAGTACGTGACGTCAACCAACTAGTAAACATATCTTCTGCTAATTTGTCTCTCCACTCATTCCAAGCACTGCTTGGCTCACAATGTCTGATCATTTCTACTTCATTAATCTCTTCAACATGCCTACTATCTTCAGTATAGTCAGATTCAATAGGATCGATTGGCATCTCAGATCTTATGAAATTATGGAGAAGACAACAAGCTGAAATGAGTCTACATTGTGTTTTCACTGGATAAAATGATTTTTCCCTTAAAATTGCCCATCTCGCTTTCAATATGCCAAAGCATCTCTCAATGCAATTCCTAGCTTGAGAATGTTTCATGTTGAAATATTCTTGAGGGGTGGTAGGTTGGTGTCCTTCTCTCCAATCATTCAAGTGGTATCTTTGACCTCTATATGGTGCAAGAAATCCCTCTCCATTCGTGTATCCAACATCAATTAAGTAGTAACACCCTATATTATTTTAATTTAAAAAGTAAATTAATATACAAAACTTGTAAGAATTTTACATTCTTTTATATATATATATATATTAATGACCTAATAATTTACCTTGTGGAACATTTAAACCATTTCTTCTACTAATGGCATCTCTGAGTATTCTACCATCAGCTGCAGAACCTTCCCACCCAGGTAAAACATAAATGAATTGCATGTTTGGTGTGCAAACACCAAGTACATTTGTCGCAATTTCATTTTTTCTTGTTCTGTATCTAGGTTTATCGATTGCAGCTACATTGACCTTAATATACGTTCCATCTAGAGCACCCAAACATCCCTATATTCATCAAATAAAGTTAAATTACATTTTTACTATCCATTTATGTATTAAGTATTACTAATTAACTTAAAAGAAAGTTCAGTACAATACCTTAAACCATTTCCATCTATCATCTATTGAATTATCTTGTATCGGTTCTGGTTTTCTAAAAAGAATCGGATGCAGTTTCAAGACTGAAGCTAACACTGTATGGAGAACTCTACTAATTGTTTCACCAGATCTTACTGTTTGACGTTTTAGAACTCTAATCTTAATATGGTGGGATATAATATGAAGGAAAGTAATAACCATTTCTTCTATAGACATAGATCGACTCTCTTTTAACCCACATTGACTTTGTAATAGGTGACACAATTTGAGAAATGCTCTCCTATCCATTCGACAATTATCAACACTTTGTCTATCACTTTCAAATATAATTTTATGTAAATTAAGTGATCTAATATTATGTCTATGAAGTCTTTCATGTGCATAACTTATTTTAGGTCTTTTTTTATATTTTCTAAGAATAACTGAAATAACCATAAGCATATGACACACAATCTCCATCATTTATAGTTGTAAAATAAGAATTGTGGCGATATGCATATTCTTTCGCATCGGTAAACGAGCCATAACTGTTATTATGAACAAACATTTTAATATTAGAACATAATAATATTGAACAAGAACAATTGTGTGTCATCACATTAAAAATAAATGAAAACTAATTTAACATGAGATTAGAAAAGATAAAATCGAATGGGATCAAGCAAAAACCAGTAATGTAACCACCAAATTTCTATTTCAAGCATCAAGAATTCAAGCATGTAAAGAAAAAAAGTGATTCTTATTTGCAGAAAACTCGTGAAAGTAAGATCAGTCGATCACCAAAGATAAGCTAACTCTCAAGCCTAGAAAACTGTAATAAAATTTATATTATACAATTTCTAGAAACTGGAAATTTATATTTATCTTTATTGCATTCTTCTGTAAAAAGAATGAGCTTCTTTTAGGTTTTTATAAGATGATGTTCTCTAAATTACTTCTGATTATTAAAATCAAGAGAACGTACAACTTATGAGCCTCATTAAAAACCTCCTAAACTAGTTGGAGGAAAAGAGCACTACATAAGAGAACAAAACACACAAAACAGACTAGAAACAAAAGCCAGACCAACAAAGATCACCATCACCTAAAAAAACCAATTTAAAAGCAAACTATCACTACTGACCAAAATGAACAAGAAACTGCAGCCATCTAATCGTACAAAAACTAAAAAACAACATAACAGATCCAACCGAACAGGCTCCCTCGACAACGTCTACGCATACAGAGTTACCAAAAACGAACAGAGGCAGCAGAAGTATATTCAAAAGCTCTCGAGCGAACAACCAAAGAGAAGCCTTGATGAGGATCTCGCTACCGAACAAGATACAAGAAGCAACCAGCAATCCAACACTAAGCTCTATTTGAAGGCACCAACCTTCTAGATAATACATTCTGAAAAAACCAACAATACCCAACCAATCGACCACTCCACTAAAAAAACCAACAAACCCAGTAATTACAGCACCAACATACCACAACTACCATGGACAAAGACCACACGGCAGAATCCACTATCAACAACATCTTCCCACCCATCACCGGAGATGGAAACATTGACACGGAAAATATCGTAAAGGAACATATCGGCATGCTCAACCAGAACCGACCCTGATTTACAGCCATATTAAGAAGAAAACAAGCACTTTGTATTTGAGTGGACCAAACGAGATAACGGGCATGTGCAAACAGGAAACCAGATGTCCCATGTATCAACGCAAAACACATATTGAAAGTCCCTCAAAGTGGACATAACCGTGCGCCCCAGTGCGCCCTACTCATATCCTCCAAGAAAAATGAGCATCCACTACATAGAAAGGAAGAACCATGCGCAGACCACCAAAACTTAATAATCTGGAAACAAAAACCAAGAGCCCCACTTATTTTGAAAGCATTTAATAAAACCAATTGCTTTGGAAAAAAATAACCAAAACTGACGCAATGAAAAAGAAAAAAAACGTTGGTTCCCCACTACACTTTGCTTCGGAAATGACAAATTTACTCAAACCAAAAAAAATGTATCGCCAAAATCTGCTACAACCTAATTTTTCCAATCAACAATTTTATATTAAAAGTAGTCCTCTCCACTTATCGTGAAATGGTTTAAACTAAGGTGCTTGACCACGAATGTGTAGGTACCGCCATATGCAGATTCATAACAAAATATTCACCAAGGCAGAAGTCATAGTCACTCCAACAACAGGGTAGATTCTTTTTCACCGCCACAGCTTGCATCTTTCTTCTGTCTTTTACTTTTTTTGTACTTTTTTCACCTCCAGCCTTTAACTTAAACTTTGCATTCCTTATATTTACCCAGTTCCTTTTCAAAACAGTATGACAACATACCCCATATCCAAAGCTGCTCTAAAAACTAGTGAACTTGACTACATAAACGGAGGTAATGAAATTCCAACACATTTTCAAGTATGCATTCATGTCTAAATATTCATGACAAAAGAAGCTGGCCATATTACTGTTATTTCAGCTAACATTATTCGCCGAAAACTTTCTGGGACTACCTGCGATCACCGTTCCCGTAATTAACTTACCACTACTAATCATAGAAGTTTTTATATTGCTGTTTATCGTCTACTGATATCAAATCCTCCATGCTTACATAGGTTGGCTATGATAAAGCTGGTTTGCCAATTGGCCTTCAATTCATAGGGAAGCCATGGTCAGAACCCACTTTAATGCACATAGCTCTTGCAATGCAGGTAGGTCGTTTGTCAAGAACATTTATCGATGTGTCTCAGATAATAATCCTATATATATTCCGGTCGATAACGTCTAAAAGTACATTTCTGGTTCTAGGCATTGTGCATCACAGATTACAGAAAACCAAAGGTTTTCTATGATATTCTTGACAAGAAGTAAGACAACAAAATTCATGAACACACCAAGGCCCTTGCCTTCAATATGGTTCTTCTTTCTCTTGATATGGAATGACATTGTACAATTAACTTACCAAGTTTAAAATACTTTACAGGGAAAAGTAAATGGAAGACATCTTTTAGATAACTCCCATGTATTCAAGTAAACTCAACCAAACAAAGTCGGGTAAATAACTTCTGCTTCAGCCTCGGGTTTGTTTAATTGACATTAACCTTCATTTTTGTATAGGTTCTTTTCAAGGAATTTGGATGAAGGAACCAAGGAAAAGGATGTCTTTGTAAGTTATTGAACCATTGAATGTTGTTCTAGCAGTACTCATATAAATTTCATGTTTCTATATTCATTTTTATGATAATTGGGAGTTTGCCAAAAGAGAAGGGATGAGGGGGTTGATGAACTAATATGGAGGGGCAATGTTACATGTCTTTCGGACCAGATCGCCTTAAATTTTGATGTCAGAGATATTTGAAGCAGTCCAGAAGTATTTATGCACTCTCTAAACGATACTTTGCTCATTTAGATTAAGACTGTAGTTTAAGCTATAGATTGTGCAGACCTTAAATCCCAGGCTTACACTTGCACTTCTCTTTGTATCTTTATTTCTTTTTCACCTTGTTTCCGATTTGTTATTATTATTGTTAGCAAGGTATCACGTATGAACTATGGACAATGAATTTTTAGCAAGACTGATTTTCTTTTATTTCAAAATAAAAGATAAAAAATTATAGTAGAAAATTTCATAAAAGATAAAAGATATGTAAACCATCAATTATAACTTAAGTTCAAACAAAATAACAACAAGCTTCAAGCAAGAAACAAAACCCATACCAGCAAATCAACTAAGGATGAAGATAAACAAGTCAAAAGAAAAACCAAAGAGCAAAACAATTGATCATCAATAAAGGGGAAACCCAGGAACAAGATTGAATGATAATCAGAAAATAAACAGAAATTGGGGAAGATGAAATATAGAAGAAACATCAAAGAAATTAAAGATTAAACAAAGAAAAAGTAGATATGTAAACTCACATCCTTGTTTGATTGTTTTCAGCTTTCCACAGAATCAACTTTCAGGATGAGGAGCGACCACGGTGGGAATTTCACAGAATCAAACAAAACAAAGGCAGAAGGTTATTTTAGACAACAGGGACAGGAATCATAAAATACCTAAGGAAGATAAGGGATAGACATTCCCCGGAAAACAGGACAAAATTTACTATTGGTATTAGTTTTTAACCGGCATTTGGTAATGTGCCCCCATCAAAACGTGGGTATATCTATCTGGGGAAAAAACATTATTGGAAGGAATGCATTATACCGTGAACCAAACGGACTCTAAAAGGCTATCGACAAACTATAAATCAAAATCAAGGAAAGTGAGAAAACTATCTATGAACGCAAATTGTATATCCAAATTCAGTTCGATAATCCAAAACAGAGAAGATCAACATAGTAATTGATGAGCATCATATTAATTAGTTGTGACAGAGTTAAATTAACTCTTAGAAAAAAAAATAAAAATAACAGTCAAACGGTCGAAAATGTACTAGAAGATAAAAGAAAATATATCATAAAAATAGGAAAAATATATTATAAAGACAGAAATAAAAATCATTATTTTATTTTGATTATTTTTATATTTACCAATTCCTAATAGAGATAGACCAAATATACTATCAAGAAAGAAAAACCGATTGCATAGAACTCACAACACAAAATCATAACGGTAGCACTGGTGTAAAGGTAGAAGGCACAGAATCGAATCAACAGATCAACACTTTAGAGAAAGGAGTGCACTTGCCACTTGTAACATAACATTCCAGCGAATTAAAAAATCAGTCGTAAGCATTATTGCAATCATTGTCAAACCACGAGATTACCATATATTTAAA